GGTTGAATATGACTGAAAATTGATTTTTCTCGACTTTTTCAATGAATAATTTTTTATATTTAAAAATTTTTTTTCTGGAAAATTCGAATTTTTGCATTCTTGAAGTTTCGTTTTTTAAGTATTTTTGGATTTTTTGAATTCTAGATTTTGAGAAAATCAGCTTCTCAGAATCTCAGAACCTCGAGTTTCTGAATTTCTGAATTTCCGAATCTCCGAATTTCCGAATCTCCGAATTTCTGAATTTCTGAATTTCTGAATTTCTGAATTTCTGAATTTCTGAATTTCTGAATTTTTGAATTTCTGAATTTCTGAATTTCTGAAATTCTGAATTTCTGCATTTTTGAAATTTTGAATTTCTGAATTTCTGAATTTCTGAATTTCCGAATTTGCTGAATTTCTGAATTTCTGCATTTCTGAATTTCTGAATTTCTGAATTTCTGAATTTCCAAATCTCCGAATTTCTCAATTTTGAAAGTCTGCTATTTTCAGCTTTCTCTCAAAAATAAAATTCTAGAATCACTAGACAAACTTTTGGAAAAATTCCAAAAAAATCTTCCAAAAAAGAAACTTTCAGCCATTAAAATCTATTTTTCTTTCTGCAAAAAAAAGAAAGAGACTCATCATATTCCCTCCTTTGTTTGCTCATTTTTTGTTTTATGACCTCCGTCATTCCCCTTTTTGGCCTTTTTGCCGACCCGTTTTATTTGTATTTGTCCAAATTTTGACTTGCACCAAATTTAGTTAGTTTTGAGGGGAAAGTGAGGAAGGATACTTTTATTTTTTGAAACAAATAGAACCGGAAATAGATAGAGGGAGGCTTTTTTGAGAACTGGAACAATATTTGTGGAGTTTTTTGGAATTTTAGGGCGAGAAGAGAGTTTTCAGAGTAAGGGTTTTTTTTGAAATTCAGAAATTCAAAAATTTAGAAATTCCTAGATCCCTGGGTCCCTGGATCCCTGGATCCCTGGGTCCCTGGATCCCTGGATCCCTGGATCTCTGGATCCCTGGGTCCCTGGGTCCCTGGATTCCTGGGTCCCTGGATTCCTGGGTCCCTGGGTCCCTGGATTCCTGGGTCCCTGGATTCCTGGGTCCCTGGGTCCCTGGATTCCTGGGTCCCTGGATCCCTGGATCGCTGGGGATCTCTGGATCCCTGGATCCCTGGATCGCTGGATCGCTGGATCCCTGGATCCCTGGATCCCTGGATCCCTGGATCCCTGGATCCCTGGATCCCTGGAGCCCTGGACCCCTGGATCCCTGGATCCCTGGATCCCTGGATCCCTGTATCCTGAATCCTGAAAGTAATAAATTCCTAAAATTCTCAAAGTTCTTAGAACCATGATTCCTCTCTTTTTCTCCGATTTCCCTTAAAACAAATTTGGCTAATGTGCTCCGTCCGCTCGATTTTCCTGAAAAAGAGATCCCCAAAATGTAGAGTGAGCCCAAAAGATTTATGTTCTTTTCCTTCTTTTTCTGCTTCTTTTGGGATTTATTCAAATAAGTGGGATGGGGGAAAAGAAGGAAAGGGACCAAAAAAGAGAAAAAGGAGAAGCCATTTTCCCTTTTTTGTGCTCTGTTTGGCTCTTTTTTTAGTTTCCATAATCGATTTTTGGCATTTTTTGGGCATTTAACATATTCCAGAAAGTTCCAGATTTTTTGAAAAAAAAAATCAAAACTTTAAATTTTCGAAAATTCGGATTTTCTTAAAAATCCGTTTTCTGCTCAATTTTTTGTTCAATTTTGAAGTTCAAGTTTTCAAAATTTGAAGTTTTGAATCTGCTCTTTTGATGTCCTTTCTGTCCTTTTTTGATTCCAAAATTTCGAAAGTTTAAGACCATCAAAACCACATTTTCAGCCATTTCATGGCAATTTTGACACTTATTTCATGAAATTAAAAATTTTATTACTTTTCTCTTTTTTTTCGGCGTTTTGATGTCAATTTTTTGAAATGGAGTTTATGGAGAAAAGTGATAAAAAGTTGAGAAAAAGGGCAAATGGGAGGGTTGCAAAAATTCGATATAAAAGAAAATTTGGAATATTGGAATTGTGAAATTTCGATTTTCCATTTCTAATTGATTGGTAAGATTTTCTGGAATTTTCTGGAATATTTGAAATTCCAATTTTTTCTAGTTCTAAAGTTTTTCAGAGCTCTTCCAATGACTCATTTTGAGCTCTTTGCGCAAATTTCGCAATCTTTAATTACTTTTACTTTTTCCTGAAATTCTATGTAGTTTCGTAGTTTTTAATGTTCCGTCTTCGTATATAATTCTATGCTTCACGAGATTTGGAGCAGAGAATTCGAAAAGAGAAGGTGATAATCTTTTTATTTTCAAATTTTCTGCACTTTTGAAATTCAGAAATTCAGAAATTCAGAAATTCAGAAACTCAGAAACTCAGAAATTCAGAAATTCAGAAATTCAGAAATTCAGAAATTCAGAAATTCAGAAGTTCAGAAATTCAGAAATTCAGAAATTCATAAATTCAGGAATTCAGAAAGATCTTAATCAAGTTTCAAAATGTGGAAATCAAAAACCCATTAAGAAATTCAGAAATTATTCAGAAAACCATTCAGAAATTCAGAAAAAAAAAGTTCAGAAATTCAGAAATTCAGAAATTCAGAAATTCAGAAATTCAGAAATTCAGAAATTCAGAAATTCAGAAATTCAGAAATTCAGAAATTCAGAAATTCAGAAATTCAGAAATTCAGAAATTCAGAAATTCAGAAATTCAGAAATTCAGAATTCTAGAAATTCAGAAATTCAGAAATTCAAAAAAAAAATTTTGTATAGTGGAAAAAATTAGAATTATTTTTGATTAGAATTAGTTTTGAAAAGGTGGAAAAATATTTAAAAATGAAATTTCTAGTTTTCAGGAATTTTGGACTTTGAAATTTATTGGAATTCACCTTCTGCATTTTTTTCCGGAATCCTGGAATTTAAGGAAAAAAATCAGCATTTGGAAACGTCTTAGATGTCGTAAAATCTGTAATAGAAGGGCCGGCTCTTCTATTGTTCCAAGGTACCTCTGTAGGGCTCTTCTATTACAGGGGCCCTTCTAATACAGGTTTTACGAAAAGTCAGATTTTCGGAAATATGGAATTTTAGATTTCAAGAACTTTTTCAAAGGCATTCGATAGGATTTTCGAAAAAATTTGGAATTTTTAAACTTTTCTCGGAATTTTCAGTTTTTCGGATGTCCTTGGTTTTTGGATTTTGTGATTTTTCCAACTTTCTAATTTCTTGAGATTTCCTAGATTTTGGAATTGTTTGGAATTTCTGACATTGGGAAATTCAGAAATTCAGAAATTTCGAATTTCTGAAGTTTCGCAATTCTGAGTTTCTGAATTTGTGAAATTTTGGACTTCTGAATTTTCTGATTTTTTATTTTTGAATTTTTTTATTATTTTTAATCCTTTTTTACTGTTTTCCGTCATTCCAACGTCAGTCTCTAGAAAATTGTTTCTATGAATACTCAATTTTTCCGCTACTCTCCCCAATTCTCAATATTTCTCTGCGTCTCTCTCTCTCTCTCTCTCTCCAATTTTTCTTCTTTTTCCTCTTGACGACTACTTTCGAAGAAGAAGCTGGCTTCTTCTTCTTCCTTTTCCATGCTCCCGGCTCCCTTCTTTTTTTCCGAGAGCGAGAGAGTACAGGAAAACAAGAGGCGTAGAGAAAAAGAAGGGGAGGAGAGAGCTCACGCAATGAGCAAAATAAACGAGGGCTGGGAGGGCTTGGGCCGGGAAAAAAGAGGAAAAAAAGCTCTTTTTCGTATTCCATCCCACTTCTTCTGACTTCTTTTTATGTGTATTTTTTTTGAAAATTTTGAAATTTGAAATTCAAAAATTCAGAAATTCCAAAAATTCAGAAATTCCAAAAATTCAGAAATTCCAAAAATTCAGAAATTCCAAAAATTCAGAAATTCCAAAAATTCAGAAATTTCAAAAGTTCAGACCGGAAATGATAAATTTGCAGAAAGAAGTATTCATTTTTCAAAAAACAAGACCAAAAAATCAACTTCCGCTCGTGTTTTGCACCTTTTTTAGTTCCAAAAACAACCACAATTTTTGGTTTGTGCAAAAATAGATTTTTTGAAAAAAGAGCAAAAAATAGGATGAAATCATTTTTGAGTCATTTCATTTTTAATGGGTTTGCTCAGTATAAAAATTGAGTTGAAAATTGAAATTTTAGGTTTAGAGTATCGTCCCTTCTTTTGTTCCAAGGTACCTCCGGAGGGCCCTTCTATTACAGGGACCCTTCTCTTCTGTTTTTCCGGCCAGTTTTTCCAAACGTTAGCATCGGAAAATTCGACAAAGTTTCGTTTAAAATTCATGAAAATCTGCCAATTTTTCTATAATTTAGAAAGATTTTTAACGAAAAATAGAGTTTCAACAAATTTCTATTAAAATGTAAAGTTTCCGAAATATTTTCCACTGGAAAGTACGGACATTTTTTGATTTCAAAACACATTTTGAAGGGAGGGGGCCCTTTTTCACAGAGGGCCCTTCTCTAAAAGGTGCCCTTCTATTACAGGGTGCACTTCTACTTTTCCAAGCACCTTTCGGAGGGCCCTTCTATTAGAGGGGCACATCTATTAAAGGGGCTCTTCTAATACAGGTTTCACGGTAGTTTTAAAGAATTCTGAATTTGTAAATTTCTGAATTTCTGAATTTCCGAATTTCTGAATTTGTGAATTTCTGAATTCCTGAATTCCTGAATTTCTGAATTTCTCAATTTCTGAATTTCTGAACTTCTGAATTTCTGAATTTCTGAATTTCTGAATATCTGAATTTCTGAATATCTGAATTTGTGAATTTCTGAATTCCTGAATTCCTGAATTTCTGAATTTCTGAATTTCTGAATTTCTGAATTTTTGAATTTCTGAATTTCTGAATTTCTGAATTTCTGAATTTCTGAATTTCTGAATTTCTGTTTTATATTTTTGAAAAATATAATATTCCGGTCAGATAAAAAAGATTTTCCCATTTTCAGTCATTTCCCTTGACCATTTTCGAGTGTTTTTTCTCACTTTTTCGTCTATGAAATCATCGAAATTTTCTTTTTCTTTTCAAGTGGCTCAGACATTCCGGAGCCTTTAAAAATCGTCATTTATCACTTATTTATCACCTGATAAACCACGCATATCCATTTTGAAAATCACAGGACAATGGGAAAAAAAAATAGAGACACACCTCCTATTTTTTCCACTTGAAATGATAGCGTTAACAGGTAGTTGAAATTGGAGATAAGCAAATGAAAAGAAAAGGATTAGAGGATGAGCAAACAGTAGTCCTTCTCATTTCTCTCCCCGAGTTTTGTATGTTTGACAATGGACTACCCGAGTTTTACCGCCTGATTTTTTGTATTATTTGTTCTTGAGTTTTTGAAGGAAATTTGAGAGTTTTTGGTATAGGAAATGAGGGAGTTTAAACTCTTTTGGGGTTTAGAAATCCATAATTTTGAATAATTCAATTTTTTGAATTTCTGGAAATTCAAAAATTCGGGAGTTTAGACTTTTAGAAAAAATCTAAAAATTTGAGCATATAATGAAGTTTGGGGATTTGGGGATTTGGGCTTTGGTACTTTAAAGTTTCAAAATTTACGAATTTTTGGATTTTTGAATTTCAATTTTCAGATTTTCTTCATTATTTAGAGTGTCCGAAATCCTAGAATTTACGAAATTCAGAAGTTCAGAAATTCAGAAATTAAGAAATTCAGAAATTCAGAAATTCAGAAATTCAGAAATTCAGAAATTCAGAAATTCAGAAATTCAGAAATTCAGAAATTCAGAAATTCAGAAATTCAGAAATTCAGAAATTCAGAAATTCAGAAATTCAGAAATTCAGAAATTCGGAAATTCAGAAATTCAGAAATTCAAAAATTCAGAAATTCAGAAATTCAGAAATTCAGAAATTCAGAAATTCAGAAATTCAGAAATTCAGAAATTCAGGAATTCAGAAATTTAGAAATTAAAAAATTCAGAAATTCAGAAATTCAGAAATTAAGAAATTCAGAAATTCAGAAATTCAGAAATTCAGAAATTCAGAAATTCAGAAATTCAGAAATTCAGAAATTCAGAAATTCAGAAATTCAGAAATTCAGAAATTC